AACTGAAACAGAACAGCAAGCGCGATTGCCTTGACGCTGTGTTCAATGAAGGCTGGTTAACAGGGGGCCACCCCACCCAGCAAGGAGAATCCTTGCTCAATCAAACAAGCATGCACGTTGTGCATGTTGCTGGCTCAAAGCACCAAACCCATGTTGAACCTGGATAAAGCCAGCACAAACATTTGACTTTCAGTCGAAAACGAACATGTTACACGATAGGCAATTTATGCCACAAGCTCAGCACACGCAGTCACATCTTTGCAACGGCCAGCTGGATCTGGAAGAGGCTGAGCTTGGGACAAAATGCATGTACATGTGGGAGTTGTTTCTGCGCTGCACGTTCCCTGTGTGCGAGGGGGAAGTGTAGCCGTTGCCGCCTTGGATGATATTCGCTGTGTCGCAGCCTGGCCCGAAATATCCCGAACTACATATGCCAATGCTCTAGTCCCCAAGTCTAGTCCTGTGGCCCCAGCTGTTCTGCCAGCATTGTTTTCTGTTGTCCCTGGCTTACAAGTTGAACTGACGCCACAACTTATTTCCGATTTCGGCAAGTGGCTGGAGCCGCCAAAGCATTGGGAGGACAACAAAGTCCACTGATGTTAGTGTCGTGCTGGATTGCTGTTTCTGCCTCCTCGGCGTTACGAGAGTTGGGTTCCAGTCGTCAGGTTGGCGCTGTCGGTGTCTCGATGAGAGTGGTTTGGACCATGCTGCTCTTTTTGTTCGTTTGCGGAGTCTGGAGTCTGGATCATCATGGGGAACAGGGGGATGGGGGTTCGGGTACTGGCGCTGCGGGGTGCTACCGGTAAGGGTTTGCCTGGTATTGGGACAGGGGGCCGAATTTGTTGGGAAGGGGGCGGGGGGGGAGTTTTCTCGTCACACCAAGCCTGCTCCAAAAGGCCGCGGTCACCAGTGACAACGCCGAGGAGGGGGACTGGGTTAGAGTTGTCAAGGCCGAAGGAAGGGGCCAAAGAGGCCCAACCAAGTGGACCGCGCTCTGGTGACGAGCAGAGGCCTGCTGACAGGCCAACTTGGAAAGTCGACGCCAAAGCCTGGGGTGCGGAGCGTCTAATTGCACCGTCTGGTGTAGCTGCGCACCTGGACGACGCACCAGACTCCCTGCTGGTTTTTGTCAGGTTGGCACTGCAGAAACACTTGAAGAAGTGCACGGGCTCCTTGAAGGTGCTCTGAGTCTCCTGCTTGGGTCTTCACGGGTGCAAGTAATGTCACTCTTGCCCACATTGATGCTCGACGGGCTCCCCTTTTTGAGGATCCGCACGGAACCATTGGTGGCCTTCCAAGGCTGCAGAAGGTACGGGTTCTCACGTACGTCTCAGCCACCTTGTCAGACCGAGGTTTTGTTAACACCAAGGCGCCTTCAGCTGCCAAGGCGGCGCAGGCCACTTGTGTCCTACGGTGCACTGCTCACGAGCGGTTCCATGCCAAGGACGAGTGGCAGGCGCTCAAGAAGAAGCCTGGGCTTTTGTTGCGTAGCTGGGTTAGCCGAACCGACGAAAAGCTCGATAAGCGACTCCTGGACTCTTGGGGTTGGGAGCTTAAAAACACCACGACAGTCCAAGGACTCCTCAGGTTGCCCGTCTCAGCCCTCCTTCCCTCTGCCTATCCTTCGCTGTCCCTCCCCACTCCACCCCCTCCCCTCTCCCCCTCTCCCATCCTCTCAAGGTTGGGGGTCAAAAAAAGGGTTGCCCTGTAACCCGCCCAGAACCAAAACCCTAAACCCGAAAAGGTAGTAAAAAACCCAGAACCAAAGCTCAAACCCTTAAACCCTAAAGCAAAAAGGTAGGAGGCCTAGATCCTCTGCCTCGAGGCTTCATGCGGGGCACCGGGGGAGCAGGAGTTAGTGGACGAAATTGACCCTCGGCCAGGCATTCATTGCTATAGTGTTACTATCATAGCACCCTTGTAAGTGAGATGGAGGTGTCGAGGGCTGGAGCTCTACACGTGTGGGGCTGTTGATGTGCTCTTCTTTCTCGTTGTCTGATGCTTGTGAGCTTTGCTGGAAGTAACGATGAAGCGGTTCCTACAATATTCTCATTGTGGTACTATGTATCCTCCACATTCTGCTTGGCACACATGGGGCATGGGGTTTCGGGTTTCATTCAAGGGTGGAGGCCGAAGGAAGAGGGTTGAACTCGGGAAGACAAAAGAACCCAGATGGGATGCGATAGACTTTCTTCTTCTGAAATTCTGCAAGGGCTGGAGGATGATCATTCCCTTGGTGTGCAGCTGACTGCCAAACCAGCCTAGTTTGATGCAACCAAGCGGGAAAGCTTGTGCTGCAAATCAATACCGTGTTGCTACCATCATCAGCCTTATCATGACCGCAACTCACGCTTCAAAACGACTGTTGGTACGGGTGCGAACACCATTGCCGATTCGACTGTCGTTGTTGCTGTCCTTTCAGCCCGCCGGTGCGATCCTAGACCCTACACCCTAAACCCTCAGCCCCTAATTGAAAAAAATCTTGAATTCCTCATTGCCCGTTGTGCTTGGAGCGGCCCAAAGCCCCAGTGATAAGCGGATTTCAGGTCGGAAAACTCCTCCACGCTGGCATGATCGCGCTTTGGCTCAACTTGGAGTTGTGGTCTAGGGCTCAGGGTTTAGGGCAGGGTTTACGGTTTAGGGTAAATAGCTGTTTTCTATCAATGGCCAGAGCAGCTGCCACTACTGCTACATACTACTACGGCGATGACTACTGCCACTACTGCTACCGCTGCTGCCATTCACCCTAACGCTGACACTGCTACTGCAAGTGCCACTGCCACTGCTACTGCCACTGCCACTGCTACTGCCACTGCTGCTGCTACTGCTTCTCCTACTACTGCTGCTAAGCAACGGCAGCAATGTTTCCAGCAGCCAGGTATCACGCGCAACTTCGACTATAGTTATATAGACTATAGTACTATACTCTTCATCATGTCGGTAGCAATGCAAGAACGAACTGCCAGAAACTGAACATTACAAGTACGCACGGACATAATCATACTCGCAGCAGAAGGGCGGATATCGCCAATGTCTTTGCGATGATTACAGAAATGGTCTTGATTCCAGTCACCACTTCGCATCGCGTTGTCAAAGCTATCACCATCTCGGCCATCATATCATGAGCCCCCTCATGGTGCTTCAGAGTCTGGGGCTTTGGATCAGAGTTGGGCCTCTGTCACTTCGAATCGGCGATGCCTGGATCTTTCGGAGCTGAGGGACAAGGCCTTTCCGCGGGCGGGCTCCAGTGGGGGACGAACACCACATCAGCAGGAACGACTCACCCCTAAAACCATAAACTCCACACCTATACCAAGAACCACCAAACCCTGAACGCTAATGAAGCCTATGCTACTGATGGAGGCAGAGTAGAGAAGCTTATGCAGAGCCCATAAAACCTTTCATAACCCCGAATAGTATCCCAATGTAGTCCTGTATAGTTGTACTATAGTATACCCGCACACCCTGTTCTAATTCCTAAGGCCCCTCTCTTGAATCCCCCTACACCTTATCCCACGACCCCTATATTGAATCCCCCAAACCCGCATACGCCCTAAACTCGAACACCCTAAGACCCTAAACCCTAAAAACCTACACCCTAAATCCTAAAACCCTACACTCTGAAACCCTCAGCCCTATAAACCCTATAAGCCCTAAAACCCTAAAGCCCTAAACCCTAAAGTATCTTCTGAGGAGCTTTCCGAGCTCTCTTCGCAGTTCGGACAGCGCTTCAACGCACAGGTCCGAGTGCCCCGGCGCTCGAATAGGAGTTTCCTCTAGCGGCTCCTCTAAAGGGGCTCTTACAGGGGATACTATGAGGGGTATTAAAGGGATTTCCCTTCAAGGGTTCCTTTAAAGGGACATTACAAGGGCGGAAGAGTTAGTACTGCTGTTCCTTAGGGTTCGTGATCGGAGTTACTATAGCTATAACACTGTTCTACTTGGAGGATCATGGGACTTAGTAAGTCAGGTTATAAGTACCTTAATTGGAGTTATAAGTACCTATAAGTATAGTTACCTTATTTATAACCCCACTTACTAAGTCCCATGATCCTTTAAGTACTCATGATTCCCCTAGATGAGTTGGGAGATTCGGGTTCTACAAATCAAAAGGGATATACCGAGGGCCTACAAGGGTTCCATACGGGTCCTATGGATTTAGGCCCGGGCAGGGCTTCAGGGTTCTTGAGGCTTTAGGGTTGTTTACATCCTTAGGTTTTAGTTTGGGTTTCAGGGGTTTCTGGGCTTACCTTAGGGTGTTAGGTTTTTGGGGGTGTCTAGGTTTTCGTTTAAAGGTGTAAAGGATTTAGGGTCTATCATAGTATAAGCCTGCTGCTGCTGCTGTCTGTGCGGACCGGTCTGTGCGTTTGGAAGAAGAAGCGATGCTGAGATTTTGGGTGGCGTGAGATTCTTAGATGCCCCCGGTTTAGTAACTTACTAACTAAGACATATGTTGTACCATGCTTTCGTTGTGTGGCCATGGGATGCGCTATTGGTGCTCTTCTTGTTGCTAACACTCCGTTCTTTTCACGTATTTTCTCCGTCTTGTTCCTGCACAAGATGACCAGAATAGGTGCGATCCCCATTCCCGATTATATCTCGTCCTCCAGTACCCCACCTCGCCAAGGCAAGTCCCCTCAGCCCGTACTCCGCAGACAAGCGGAATGACGGCAGCTTCAAGCGATGGTGTCTCGGCATAGGAGGGTGCAGTCTGGCAGGTGCCCGCATGGTTGAGAGAGAAGCTGAGCTGCCGATCAACCTGCAATACGGGTGACTGAGCCGACGACACATGACTCTGGATCAAGTCCTTTGACAGAGCGTCGGAAACCTCGGCGCAAATCTTCTAGCATGAGCCTGGAGCAACACACTGCAAGGGTTTGTCTCAGTCAACTTGTTTTCCAGGCCACCCAAGAAGCACAGCTACGGAGGTACAGACACTCGTGACTCGTCTTACGAGGCTGCTGGGCAAACGCCCGCGCCCCGTTGAACGTAACGTCGCCATGGCCTTCGTGACGAAGTTTGCGTTCGCCATGGGACTGCTGCTCGGGCCTACGGCTCCACGGCTGGTGGGCTTCTGCCTGCTGATGATGAGCATGTGGTCTCTGAGGCTTCACCCCCGGAAGGTCCTCGACATGAGCTGGCTGGACCTTTTGGTAGCCTTGAGGGCCACCTGGAGGCGCCGAGACCGCAGTAGCCTGGAGCAGGAGATCAGCAAGAGCTGGGGCTCCGAGGTGCTGGTGACGCTTTCGGTGAGATCGGGGTTCGATCTGCTTCTCTCGGCTTTGGCGCTCCCCAAGGGATCAGAAGTTCTGTTCATCCCCGGCATCACCATCCCAGGAATGGTTCAGATAGTGGAAGCCCATGGGCTCCAGCCCGTGGGGGTTGACCCACCTTCGCCGACGCAGATGCTCCCAGGCAAGCTGGCTCCATTCGTGACGCCGCAGACCCGCATGGTTGTGATCTCGCACCTCTTCGGGAGCATTCACAAAGCTTCGGACCTGATTCGCGAGGCTCAGGCTCTGGGCTTGCTGGTGGTGGAGGACTGCGCGCAGTCCTTCGTAGGCAGTGCGGCGACGCGCTCCCTTGCTTGTGCCTGGCCTATGGGCTTCCGTGGCCACGAGGTCTCCGATGTCACGCTCTCGAGCTTCGGCAACATCAAAACCTTAACGGCCTTGGGAGGGGGGGTTGTCCGTGTCCGTGACGCCAAGCTGCGTTCTCGCATGCGGGAGATTGAAGTTGCATGGCCGGTGCGGAGCAGGGGGCAGAGGCTGTGGACAGTTTTTCGAGCGGTTATCTCAAAGCTGTTCTTGACGCCCATGCTTTACGGGCTCTTGGAGGCGGTGATAACGATGCTGGGTCTGGACTTTGACCACCTCATTGTAACTTACGTCCGTGGCTTTGCCAAGTTGGAGTATATCCGACAGCAGCCCACCCTGGAGCTTCTAGAGCTCTTGTCGTGGCGGCTGCAGTCGCAGCAGGTAGCAGCCTTCGAAGACGCCTCGCTGCGCTCTTCCGTCAGCCGACGACGGCGCCTGGCCAGGATCGTCATCGAGCGTTTGGAGAAGGAAGGCATCGAGTTCGTGTCCAAGGGTGACGGCACGAATGCTTGGTGGCTTCTGCCCATTCTCTGTGACCGGGTTCTTGTTGGGGAACTCATTTGAGTTGCTGCATGCCTGCCGGTTCATAGCAACGTCAATGAAGTTCGTGAACAGACCCCTGCACAGTATTTAAAGTCCCTCTTTAGCCTCCTTGAAATTAGCCCAGGTGATGACCCCAGGCGGATGGCGAAAGAGCTGGTCTCCCGCGGCTTCGATGCCACGAGCACCACCACGCAGCTGCAGCGCGTGGTGGCGGCTGCCACGTGCAAGCAGCAGGCCTTGAGGATGTCCGATGGCCAGGACCCGAGTCAGGCGATCTCTGGGGGGCTGAGGCTAAGAGAGGGCAATCCAAAGCTGGCCCTGGAGGACTTCATGAGCCGCGTCGTCTACCTGCCCTTGACGCCCGTCCTGCGAGAGGCCTGCGGGGAATCCCAAGTTCCCACGGCCGTCCTCCGATAGTCCTCCACCCAGAGGCCTGCAATATCCCTTAATTAAGGAATATTCCTTTAATCATAATTAGGGATCCCACTATTAAGGTATATTCCTTAATCAAGGCATATTGGAGTCTCTGGGCATCCTGAGCTGCAGGCGGAGGCAGCGGCTCTGGCCGAGGCCACCCTGGCTGCCCGAGAGGCCATGCGTCGCGGCGCGGCGGCGCCGCAGGGACGCCCAAATGCAGGCGCCGTGCGCAGCGACGGAATCCCCATCTCTCTTTTCCTGTCGTTGCTCTATCAGGGTAAGCATAAATGCACCTATATCCGTGTAATGACCAACCTCGCAGATGAATGTACGTATGATGTACACTGACTGACATGGACACAGATGTCTATACAAGTGCGAAAGATCCGTGGGCCGTATGTATATTATGTAAGTCTGTTTGTCTGTCTGACTGTCTGTGTGCGCAGCAGTGACAGCGAGAGCAATAGTGAGCCTCGTCATTTTGGTCGTGCTCGTCATCGTCTTCACCGTCCTAGTCGTATTGAGTGTAATACTGTAGCAGCGATGGTGATGATGATGCTGGTGCTGCTGCTGATGATGATGACGGTGATGGTGAAGACGAAGATACTGAGGAAGACGGTGATGGTGATGGCGATGGTGTTGGTGATGATTGTCATGACCATGCCAGTCAGAACAAGAGTAGCGTGAGTGAGAAGCAGCGGTGCCTTTTAGAGTCAAAGCTTACGCCGCCTTTGTAGACCGCAGTCCAGCCCAAAGCAGCCCGCGTCTGCCCCCGACCTTGTCAGGCAGCAGCCTGCTGGTTTCCCTTGTTGGCCTACTCTTTCTCGTCTGGCCTGCGCTGATGACATGGTTCCTGCCTTCGACGAGCACCATGCGAAGCCTGATGTGTTGGGCCGGAGTTTTGGGCATCGTGCTCCTGATTCTTGTGAGGTGGCTTGCAGCAGACAAGGGCTTGAAACTGGACCCCAAAGTCCTTGAGGCCCTGCCTCCTGTGGTGCGAAGTGAGGGCTTGGAGATTTGCAAGAAGATCCCTCTGAGTGTGCGCATTGATGGAGCTGTGCTCTTGACTGGTGGTACCGGCTTCGTGGGTGGCGGCATCCTTTTCTCCTTGCTAGCACGTGCTGAGGAACTGGGCATCACAAAGATTGTGCTCATGGTTCGGCAGCGCTCAGGTAAGAGTCTCGCGGAGCGCATCAAGAAACTGCGGGATCACATCATGTTCGACGAAGTTCGCGAGGCCTTCGACAAGCTCGTTGTGGGCCTTGAGGGCGACACTTCACAGCGGAATTTCGGATGGACAGAGGCGCAGCCGTTGTGGCCACACAAGGAGTGCTTGAAGGCCGTCCTACACTGCGCCGGGGACGTCCGCTTCCAGCAGCCCATGCAGCAGGCTGCCGTGTCGCTGATCTCTGCGACGCTCCAGATGCAGCAGCTCGCCTCGCAGTGGAAGGCCAAGCGCTTCCTGTTCGTCTCCACCGCCTTCGTGCATGCGGTGCCACCGCCCAGCACCGAAGCACTGCAGGAGAGGCTGGTAGAGCTGCGGGATTTCGATGCCATGGAGCTCTACCGCGATGCAATGTCGCACGGTGGTTGGGCACAGACAGCTATGCGAGAGCTAGGTTTTCCCAACACCTACACATTCTGCAAGGCTGTCGCTGAGCACCTGGTGATCCGAGCATGTGATTCCGAAGGCTTGGATGTGCGGATTGTCCGGCCTTCCATCGTAGGGCCTGCCTGGGCATATCCTTTCATTGGATGGGCGGGAGACAAGCCCTCCACCATCGTCGGTGCAGGGACCCTCCTTGCAAAGCGCGGGGTCCGGGCCTTTCGGGACGCCTTCGACCACCCCTGCCCGGTGGTGCCCGTGGACATGGTGGCTGACATCTCCGTGAAGGCCTTGGGCGGGGCCTTCAGCAGCGAGCATGGGCGGATCTTCCAGGCCTGCTTGGACTCTTCGGAGGCACACCAGATGCCCTCCTTCCGATTCTTCACTGCCCACTACTACCAGTTGCTGGCGCTCAGGGGGAGCCTCTCCCTTGCAGAGCTGGGCCTCATGGCCAAGCTACTGCGTTGGTGCGACAACGCCACAGTTTTCCACATCGTGCATGCCCTCATCAATGTCCTGCCCATGAAGCTCTTGGGCCTTCTTCGCATTTGTTTGGAGAGGATTTTCGCCTTGGTGGGCATGAGGCTCAGCAAGCAGTTTTCCACAATGGTGAAAGTGCTAGAATCCTGCTGCACCTTGCCGATGCAGTATCATTCGTTCTCGAGTCCATGCGTGCCATGGCACTTCCAGTCGACGCTGCGATTGCCAGAGCAGTGGGACTTCCACGAGTACTTTTTGATCTGCTGCCGGGCCGGCTACGCCTTTGCCCGGCCAAGCGCTGGGCAGCTGCTGGCCCCAGGGCGCAACTATGCCAAGGAGTTTGCAGAGATCCAAATCTTCGGTCCCAGCTCGGTCCTTTCGGATCTGATCACCGCCTTCGCACACCCCAATGCTGGGCCGCTCTATGCGATAGCGGCCTTTGTGGTGAGGCAGGGCCTGAGTTGGCTGAACCTCACAGTGACCGTGGATGGCGCCTCCCTGCAGTCTATCAGCAAACTGGATGTGCCTGGGTTCTTGTTAAGGAAGGTAATTTTCAAGTGACCATAGCAGCGATCTAGAGTAAACAAGATGGCTTCCGTATCATGGTAACTTTCAATTAACTCCCTTCACAAGAACCCAGGTGCCCTTAGTGCTATGCCCACAGCATCGCTCCGTTCTCGACTTTGTGATCATTGGGCTCACATGCTTCCAGCTGCAACCTGTTCTGCCTGCATTGCAGCTCCCCCAAGTGGCAGCAGACGCAGAATTCTCTGGCCTGCCCTTTCCTTAGTGCTCTCATGTGCTCTGCGCAATAGGCACCGTGTGTAGAGTACAGGACTACCTTCTTGGCTTTCCCTCCCTCTCCCTCTCTATATCTATATCTATACTATATCTCTATCTATCTATCTATCTATCTTTCTATATAACAAGTTATACATATATATATATATATATATATATATATATATATATGTATGTATATTCAATCAGTATGATATATCTATCTGATGTATGCATAATACAGACATACATATATATATATATATGCATATATGATGCGCAGATACATCCGTAACAAAGAGCCACTCTAAGGCCCTTTCTGGGATGGGCCTTGGCCGGGCTGGGCGCCTTCTTCGTGCGCCGCGGCGGGGGCTCGGTGCAGCCGGACCCCGCTCTGCGAGCCAAGGTTGGAGCTCTTCAAGAGATCTACGAGGGTTCCTTTAAGGGATCTAATTACGAGGGTTCCTTCAAGGGATCTACGAGGGTTCCTTTAAGGGATCTAGAATCTACTTCTGGGGTTTAGGGTTTTAGGGTGTAAGGTTTTAGAGTTTATAGGGTTTATAGGGTTTAGGGTATACCTTAAACTACAGCAGGATCCCTTGTATGATTTAAGGAATATTCCTTAACTAAATAAGGGATATTGGAGTCACTTGGTACAGGTTCCCTTACTGGGTTCTTCTTAAGGAATTTTAATTTATGTTTTACCATATTGGGGATCTATAAGTGCTTTTTTAAGGGATCTATAAGGACTCCTGTAAGGGTTTAGGAACTTAAGTTAAGCTACCACAATAGGGATCTATAATAAACACATCTTAAGATAGTTTCCTTATTCTGGCAAGCGACCATAATAGCGATCTAGAATAAAGATTATGGTTTCCTTATTCTGGTAACTTAGAATAAATGCTTTAACAAGAGCCCAGAGGTCGGCAAGGTCTTTCGAAGTGGGCGGCCGTTGGAAGTCTTCCTGGAAGGCGGCGAAATGGTGGCCTTAGGAATAAGTCAAATACTTATGGTTCAGGCATACTGGTACTCGACTGTTTGCTTAGAAGGTGGGTATAAGAACTGGAGTTGAATAGATTGGCGACCTGGAGGCTTGCGCAGCCGCGGACGCAGGCAGCTGCGGCTACGAACCGGGCTGCTCAAGGCTTTGAGGGACATCTCTCAGAGGACCCGGGAGAGCAAGCGCGGCATGTCACGGTTCAGCAAGTCGTTAGTCCTGAACTTGATTTCTGTCCTTCCCTGGCCTTTTGTTTTTAGGACGGTGGCGCTGGTGCCCCTGGCCATGTCCTACGAGCTCCTGCCCGAGGACGAGAGCCTTTACCGAGAGATCTGCGGACTCCCTCGGGATCCTCTCCGCACCCTGGACCTGGTTTGGTGGGTTTTAAGAGGCCTCCGAGGGGAGCTGCCACCCTTGGGGGAGGCCTTCATGCGCTTCGGCGTCCTCCACACCTTAGACGCCTCGGCCAACGTGGACTCCCTGGTGTCGGATGTGCAAAGGGAGCTGGTGGAGCTTTCCTCGGTGACCACGCTGCACTGCCGTGCCCTTGGGGAGGTCTTGGGCTTCGATGCTGGGGAGGTCGTGGGCTCCTTGGAAGGCCAGGTGCCTCTGCGAAACTCCTGCGTCCCAGACAAGCCCGGCCCAATGCCCCCAGCGGAGTGCTGGCCGCTGGTGTTGCAGGCCGGGTCTGTAGTAGCTCATGGGGCTTTAGGCTTACAGTGCATGGAGCAGAGTGGAGCTGTTGGAGCTGCAAAAGTAGCTTTGTGCTGGAGCGTGTTTGATGGAGCCTCGCCAGGCCGCGACCTTGAGCCCAATTCGGCGCCGCCTGCCACGCCACTGGGGCCGATGGCTGGTGGAGGGTCTGGCAGAAGAGGTAGCCAACGGGAAAGAGACAGGCCAGGGTCTGTCAGCAAAGCAGAACGTCAGATACTTGCTGGGTGCATGGGTCTCTGTCTGCCCGAGCTGCCTGCCCTCAGCTGCGCAGGTGCCCAAGCCGAGAGCAAGTTGGCAACGGGGGGTGCACTGGATCTGGCGGCGCTTGCAACCGCTTTCGAGTCCCACCTCCTGGCTGCGGAAAAAGCCGCGGAGCAGGCCAGCGACGTCTTGCGACAGAGCGGCACCGTGGAGATCACAGAAGAGCACTTGGTGCAGCAGCTCCTTTCCGACGGCGCGCCCCAAGTGCCTCCGCCTTTGGCCCAGGGGGCTGCGGCGATCGTGGCCTCCCGCTTCAAGTCCACCCGAGGCTCCGTTGGGGCCTCCGTGAAAGGCAAGCAGCCTGTCCGAGGTTCCGTTGCACCGGTCACCCCTTTGTGGCCGGCGCATGAGGCTGACCAGCTGAAGAACGAGGAGTCCCTAGATCGCTGGGGCTTCAAGGACACCAAGTTTGTGGCTCAGTATGTGGACGGAAAACCGGCCGCGCAAATCTCCTCCCAGAGGTACAAGGCCTTCGGCCGCCAACCGCTCTTCCGACTGTGGGATCTCTTCCAGCGTCAGCTCGCCGTCCCCCTCAACGTGCGTGACATGATCGCCGATCGCCCGATGCCGGAACTGCCGAAGGTTGCGGAGGGTTTGGCGGAGGTCTTGGGAAAGGTCTTGCCTTCTGGCAGGGCGCACTTCGATCCCGAGTCCCGGATCCGGGCAGGAACCGGTCATGGCCTCGCAGATATCTGGCGTCTCCGCACTCGGCAGATGGTGCGCTTCGCAGATGCCGTGGTTTCTCCAATCAGCGAGGAGGAAGTGCAGGCTTTGCTGAAAGCCGCGGTGGACTTCAACCACGGAAAAGGTTTCGGTGTCATACCCGTTGGTGGCCGGACGAACGTCACCTCGGCCACGTTGTGTCCGCCCAAGGAAGTCGACCCTAGACCTTTCGTGGCTCTCGACATGCGCGGCCTGGCTAGTGTGCTTTGGGTGAACGCAGAAGATGGTGTTGCCATGATCGAGGCAGGAATCACTGGCATGAACCTAAAGGATGCACTGAAGCAGCATGGGGTCACCATGGGCATGGAGCCGGATTCGATGGAGCTCTCAACGCTCGGAGGTTGGATTGCAACCCGGGCTAGTGGGATGAAGAGGGCCCGCTACGGCAACATCGAGGACATGGTCCTGGAGGTGCGCGTCGTGACGCCCACTGGGCCGATTTGGCAACGGCACGGTGATCCTCGAGTCCCTGCCCAGTCGCAGACCGCCATCGGCCGGGCCTCCACCAACATCGGCTTGCCGTCTCTGGTGCTGGGCAGCGAGGGTTGCCTGGGGATCATCACTTCCGCAGTGGTCCGTGTGCGGCCCTTGCCTGAGGTTGTGGAATATCAGAGCATCGTGTTCCCGGACTGGGACCGGGGTGCAGCCTGGATGCGCGAGGTGGCCCGGATGCCCGCTGGGCTGCGCCCGGCCTCGTGCCGTTTGATGGATCAGAACCAGCTGGAGCTCGCGCAAGCGCTGAAGGAAGGCTCGGAGCAGAAGACCGCGACTAGCAACCTCCGGGCAAGCCTCCGGGAGGCCTACCTGTACTGCAAAGGGGTGTCGCTGGCGCAGGCATCTGCGGCAACCTTGGTTTTCGAGGGCACTCATGCCGAAGTGAAGCTCCAGATGAAGGAGGTCAGCAAGCTCGTGTCTAAAGCAGGCGGGATTTGGGGCGGTGCCTCTTCGGGGGCAGCTGGCTACACGCTCACCTTTGCAATCGCCTACTTGCGAGACTTCGGGCTGGACTACCGCATCTTAGCAGAGTCCTTGGAGACCATGGCACCTTGGTCGGCCATCCATCAGGTCTGGCCCAAGGTCACGGCCTCCGTGGCCCAGAAGCATCGGGAGTTGTGCCTGCCGGGCAGGCCCTTCATGTCCTGCCGCATGACGCAGCTCTATGACGAAGGAGGTGTCTTGTACATGTACATTGCAGTCTGCACGAATGGCCTGGAGCCAAAGCGTGCTCTGGAGGCCTTTGAGAGTTTGGAGCACACAGCTCGAGAAGCCATTTTGGATGCTGGGGGCTGCTTGAGCCACCACCATGGCGTCGGGAAGCTGCGAGCCTCTCTCCTCCCCCAAACACAATCCCCAGCACTGACCCAGGTGCTTCGGGACTTCAAAACAGCCCTGGACCCGTCAAATGTACTGGCTGCCGGAAACGGCATCTGGGCTGCTTCTCCTGCTGAAGACTCCGATGACCTGCACAGCATTGAGAGCGAACCTTTGCAGTCGAGCATGAGCTGAAAAAGAAGATGACAGCGGGCAGGCTGCCTGTGCGCTGTTCTTGGCTCTCTTGCTTTGGCAAGGAGCACATCAATGAAGAGGACCTTGTGAGTTCTAGAGCTTCGGTATCTGTGCCTCTGCCGGAAGCCGAGGTTGAAGGATTGTGGCTTCAACGTGAGCTACGTCTATGAGGGCAACAAGGCCTGGGTTGCCCCGAGACGACAGGATTGAACCATAGAAGCCTAACGTGCAAGCCCCATATCTTCGCTATGCCGCTTGAGCTGCTATTCTCTCCTGTGCCTCATTGCAGCTATACTATACTCCTAGTCTACACTGTTTGATGCCCCAGAACCCTACTCCTAACCCTACTCTAGCTATTACAGGCCCCCATGGTCGAAGTTCGACTCCTTGATCTGCCTGCTTAGGCCATGGTCTACGCTCCCTCCGGGGGCTGGCAGGCTCGAAGTGATGTGGACGTTCGCTCAGGGTTTAGGGCTGAGGGGTTTGAGGTTAGGGTTTCAAGAGCTTGGGGTTTTGGGTGAAGTGCATTGGCTTGAAGCTTTCTCTCAAGGCCGCGACACGATTAGAAAACCACGCCTTTTGCTGTTAACGCCAGGCTTTGCAAAGCTGCACTGGGCGGACCCATGTTACCGTAGGGCTTGATCGCGGTCGTATGTTCCTGTGGACCCTCTTCAATTTACGTGCTGCAGGCCTCGGACGCAAGGCATGGCCTGCACAGCCACAACGGCTTCGACGACAGGGGCCAGGGTGGCAACAGCTACGAAGCTGAGGCTCCGGTGATCTTTGCTAAGGCTTCTTCTGCTTTTCCAACGAAGTGGAGGTGCCAAATTGCTTTCCCGGGTTCAACTGACTTACATCCGAATGGAAAAAGCTTAGTGTGTGTGTGTGTGTGTGGAGACTGGAGTTGCATGCAATGCTCCCGGCGGCGCACCCGACCAGAAAGACCTTCCGGCAGGACAGCTGGCGCGATTGGGCGGACGTCGATGCGGTCGTTGAGTGTGGCGGTTGGGGTGCCCGTGCAGCACTGGCATTTTTGGATGGAAGGCCATGACAATTCGAGTCTTTCCTGGCACAAGTTATGTCATGGTTCCATCACTGAGGCATCCATGACCCTGATGTGGTGGAAATCGTCAAGAAGGAGCAACTCCGTCGCATCAAGATTGCTTCCTGCGAGTGCGAATGGGCCAGCCGCTACTAGGGAAGTGTGGTTGGAATTCCACGTCGTCGTGTGGAAAATACTATCCGCGTCCGACACCCCCTGCTCACCTCAGGGCATTGTGTACCAGTGTGTATGATATATATATATATATTTATGTATATATATATATTTATATGTATATTCATATGTATTTTATAGATATATACATTCTGTATATTGTACTGATCTAGAGTGCGAAAATCCCTAGAAGCGCAAATTCAGATTGGCAGCCCTCACTAAGGACTCTCAATGTCTTGGGAATTCCTCGCATCTGCAGCGGCGACCAAGTCCACATCCACTGTTGCTTGGAATTCTCTGTGTTGCCCTTTACCTAGCGATCGTAGCCATCAGCATCACCATGATGATGATGATGATGATCATTGTGGTTAAGAGCTGCACTCATGGTCCTAGCCCATGGCCACTGTCATGGGCATGAGAGATCTCTCAAGAGAACTTTGCAAGCAGTGCTAGTTGTGGTATTGAAGAGAAGACATTAACTCATCATAACAGGAAGAAAGTATCAATGGTGGTGGTGAAACACGTCGTGGTCGTCGTCGTAGTCGTCGCTCGGGCATCAGTCGCTGATCAACAAGATGAGATGCAGTCTGAATTACAGTGTTAAGTGAAACAGCTACATCACGAAGCTGCATTCCATCTGAATGAAGGTCTGCTGGCCTGAGAAGTTCGCAGCAAAAAGACACCGCAAACACCGGAGGTGTTGCACGTTTACGTTCGGAATGGAGCGTGACAGCGCTGCCTTTTCTTGCGTGTTTGGTGCATGGTGTAAGCAAATGCACTTGAAATGCCTGATAATTGCTTGTGCCTTTGCGCATGAAAGTAGATGCAACGTTCGTCGTAGTCGTCGTTGTCGCCGTCGTTGTCGCGATGAGAGTGCAACTGCCATTAGGAATCACAAACAGCGGTACAAGTAGAACAGCTTGCAGTACGACTTGTAGTGCAAGCAAGTAACGCGTCGATGATGAATGTTAGGATTTTGACAAGTTTTTGAGGCTGAAAGGTTTCTTGTTGAAAGTAAAATATGATAGACGCCCTGTTCTATAATCCTGATTGGGGCTGTTAAGAGTTAAGACCCCTACATGAAGGGTTAGGCCACCCAGAGGGTAGGGGCCCCACGAGAACCAGGACAAGTCGTTCACGTGCTAGACGACTGGTCATGTCCTGCCATGGTTTCAAGATGTTTCAAGCTTCTCGAGTGGTTTCGGAGCTTCGTGTGCAGTTGGACTAAGACTAACAAGACTAATGGCAATAGAAAAGTTATAGTAGTAGTGATAATATCAATAATCATGAAAGCAATAGCAAATAGCATAATAATAGCAATACCAACAATCCCACGAATAACTCAAGCACCCTCCAGCTTCAAGACTTAGCAGCTTTGAAGCGGCTTTGAGGCTGATGGGCCGCAGGGGGGATTGTTGGTTGGAGAATGGCTTCGAATTTCTGTGGCCTTCTTTATGTACTGTATCAGGCTCCCGAAGCAGAGTGGATGCAAGCCTCCCGAGCACCGGAAGCCCAGCCCCAGGCTTAAACTTGCAAGAGAACAACTTTGGCGACGAGGGCGTGGAGGCCGGGTGCTTGGGCTCCTTGTGCCCGGTACCCAGAGATCCCAATACCCCTTAATTAAGGAATATACCTTAACTTATATTATAATAGGATCCCTAATATGATTTAAGGTATATTGGGTTCTCTGGGGACAGAAATGAGGGCTTGTCGGGACCGCGCGGGCGGGTGTGGGCGAGAGCGCCGTGAAGTAAGCGCCCAACGTGCCATGTCAGTGCTGATGAAACAGTGCTGATGAAAGTCTGCCGCCCCACCAGACCTGCCCTGGAATTAGGCGCTCGTGGGATATCTGACGCGGAATCGCGGCTCACTTGCAGAGACTGGGGGGCAACATCTGCATCTGAAGTGCGAGTGCAAATGTGCAGAGATGCGCATGCTGAGCCCCAAATCCAACGGCTCTAAAGCCCTAATGTAGGACCCTGATTAAGAAACCCTGTGCCCATAACCTCAAAACAGTAGGATTAATATAATGAGCCCAATAAAGGCCCAAGGTTCCTTAATCAGGGTCCTACATTAAATCCTAAACCTAAACCTAGCTAACCAATGATATTGGGGGAGCTACTAAGGAGCCAGGGATGATGACAATCCCTATGAAAAAAAGGAGCTAAACCCCCCAAAACCACTGGTTAGCTAGGCCAAGGCCAAGTCGCAAAGTATCTCCACCTGGAGCAAAGCAGATAAGGTATTCGCGTGGACATCCTGCGCCTCTTCAAAAACCCCAACGTCGGCAACAAGTCAGCCAGCAAGCTGCGTGAGCTGTACAGTCAGGACTTGCATGGGGTTTCATTCAGGGTTTCGGGTTGAATAAAGGGGGTCTGACGCTGTAAATTCCCCTCCCCTTGACAAAAGCTATTCTACCCATTCCAATCATAAGGCTTCTACATTCGCCTGGCCCCCTGAGCCAGGATGCTCTTGTTACTTCCGATCAGGTTTCACTTCCGCCACCATCCCCTCGAATTCCTTCGTGCAGTCTTGGCATGATACGCCCCAAAGCTCCTGTGATTTTAAGTCGCTCATAGTGAAAACCCTATAAAAGCTCCAAAATAGAGCCCACACAGATTCCACAAGGAGGAACTCTTCAAAGAACCCTAAACTGTCCCAGCCCTAAACACGCCCTTTCTAGGAGCTGACCTGAGACCCTAAACCCTAGAGCCTCCTTGGCGCCAGGATGCGAGGGCTCCACCCAAGGAGCTTCACGTAAGCAACTGCTCTGTTGGGTCGCCACTCTTGCTGCATCTTAAGCGGTTTCCGAGTCACTTGAGGGTTGAGGTGTGGAGTGTACGTCCCACCAACCAAAAATCGCGTAGTATGGGGCCTCGGGTTTGGATTTTGTAATTCATTCACGTTCGTTCATCTACAGCAACGAGTTGTTTTGAATCAGAGGTCAACGCCAACCCGACATCCCAAGGACCGGGGCGGCAGATCTCTTGCTGGCCATCGCCCGGCGGTGGAGGCTCCTACTACCAGGGGCCTATTACCTATACTATTTTGGAGGGTTCCTTATTATGAGTGTAGTATAATATGCCCCCCCAAAACCCTATTCCAATTATTAAGGCCTTTCAAAGAGGGCCTTCGGCCGAAGGGGCGGGCTTAGAGTTTAGGGGTTCAGGGCTTATGGGCTTTGGGTTTCAGGTTTTCAAAGTTTCAGGGTTTCAGGGAGCACACTACGAATCAATTTGAAAAGGGAGCAGGACAGGACTGGGACCCTTCCATTGCAGGCAGTATGCATATACCATCTGCTTTTTGGGCCCTGGCCTGCATGAAGGACAGCAGAGCGCTTCCAGGGCAAAGCAGCAAAGGCTGCTTACGTGACATGCCTGCAAGTGAGGTCCTCTACCTTTCTGCTATCGCCCTGAGTTACCAAACGGTGCTTTGATGGGCCCAGGTACGTCTTGACAACAACCGTTTCGGCGACAGAGCTGCAGAAGGATGTTGGGTCCTCCTACACCCGCAACCCTAAACTGGGGCCCACTTATCCGCATACAACGATCCCTATTGTACGGGGGCCCCAGGAGTACTTGAAACCCTTGACCCTAAACCCCTAAACCCTACATCCAACACCCTATAAGCCCTACAGAGCCGAAACCCAAAACCCTCTGAGACCGAGCCCCAAAAGCCTTACACCCGCAGCCCCCAGAGGCGTGCTAAAACCACAGAATGCAGTCCCAATTTGGATGACGCGGACCCCCCCCGCCCCTCCCCTCCCCCCTAAAAAAAACGACGAGCGCCCAAACCCGAAGCACCTTAAGCCGAATCTCTAAGACATAGCTGCCAAGACCTGGAAAGTGTGGTTGGCAAGCTCCAAGAGGCGAACTTCTACATCCGACAGGTCCGCCTTGCCATGGCTTTATTGGGATTTGCAAGGTTTTCATAGGGTTTTAGAAGGTTTGTAATTGGATTCCAAAAGGTTTCCAGACGTCATGTTGGCGTTGAAGTTGTTTTTAAAGGTTTTACACGTTTCTTATGGAGGCCCTTCTACGAGGGTAAAAGCGGTTTAGGGCCTTGGCACTTGAGGTTCTGATGATAATCCACGAATGGAACGTGTGTCAACACAAGCTTTGTGCTGACATAGTTAGCATTCAAAACAGATGTAGAAACTTTGGCTGGTGGCACCACAGCCACGAAAGTCTTCGTCCCCATTGCCTTCACCTGGTACTGCAGCCACTGCTACCTCCACTGGTACCACCACCACCACCACCACCACCACTACTACTCCTGTTGCTGCTGCTGCTCCTACTGCAGCTACGAAGACGACGATGGGCCACGGCAAAGAATGGGACAGGATAGTCTTTCGTGGGCCTTCAGACATGGCGGACGGCATAGACCCTGCGTTTGGGATCTTGACAGGATCTATCATTCTGCCATAAAACCCACGACGGCTTTTTCCACGCTGCTCCGAAGTCAGCTTCGAAGACTGCAGTTTGCTGAGACCTGCTTTGTAGTCCGTTTCTCATGAGTATCGTGAAAGACCCTGGTGCAAGGGCTACGATCCCAGATGCCGTCATTCGGACATCTGCGAGGCTCGCAGGGTCCTAAAGCTGTCACTGCCGGATGCATACAATGAGTACTGGGAAGGAGTACTGTGCCGCCTCCTGCAGGTGCATGAGGTGGGTGGTGGGCCGTCGCTCATCATGACTCTCGGCTGCTAGCGGTAGCGAAGCATGGGCCAGCCAGTGGTCCTTCATCTTTTCAATCTCGAGCTTATCGCTTGTTTGCGCTGATAGCAAAGCCACTGTGTCGGAGGCTTCCTCAGCTAAGGCGTTTCCGTGTCCCCACAGACCGATACCTTAAAACTTCAATTAATGCTGAAGCTTGGACACGAAATCCCCTGAGCCCTGAACCCCCAGCAGGTACTAGTGTAAGCGGTTCTAAATCCCTTGAGCCCTGAACCCTACTTGGAGGATGATGGGACCTAGCAAGTAAGATTATAAGTGCCCTAATTGGGGTTATAAGTAGTTATAGGTAGCGTTACCTATTACGACGTCCCATGATAATCCAAGTAGCCTTTCTAACGCCGCTTCTTTCAGGATCCCCCAAATGAGCCTGAGATCCTTGCCGAGCCGGGGGGGGCAATGGAGGCCTGGCGCAGGGTCCGAAAGCCCAAGACCCCGGGAGCCCTTCTGGTAACCCTGGGGGTACCATAGGGTCCTATGTAAGGGTTGCCTTTAAGGGTACGAGAGGGTTCTGTAGTAGGGTTCGAACTCTTATGGCAGCCCTTATAGGAGTGCCAGTACCCTCAGGACGGCACCGATCCAAGAGAAGTGCCCACGCGCAAGAATTATGTGATTTGTTGAGTAGGTTTGTTGCGGTGCAATGTCCGTTCTTGTCCCCCAAAACCTATTGAAACTGTTTAGGCCTTGTATTCCCTGTGCAGATATGTGTCGCTTCGCGTGCTTTTCTGTCTCTCGATTGCTGCTCGTAGCCTGCGTGTTGGTACTTTTCTTCTTTATGAGTTTGTTCCTAATTTCGCAGACTACTTGTAGCTAGTACTGCCAGAGCCAGTGACAGTCTCAATGTTGCTATGGCTCTTCGTACACTTCGTCTGTATAGTTCAAATTGCCAGCACTCTGTGGTGACGTCAGAGGCACGTCACTCTTGTGGCAAGTTCGCTTTGTTGAGAAGCTCTGTGCTACAACATCAAACGGGGGCTATTCCAGTGTCGTTGCTTGCGAGTACGATCGAGTACGACTACGATTCGTATTGCTATGATCCCGATTGGTATCCCTATTGGTACCAGTGACAGTACCCGTGCTGCCATGATTGCTCCTAAGTATGGCTGTTCTGCGATTGTGAGGTTCTTCCTTCACTTCTGTTGCCTTCGCATGAATTCACTGCTTTCTTTGGGCTGTACCTTGAAGGCTCAGACTTGACAGCTGCAAAGCTGTTTCTTGTTGTGATTACTCCGAGTACTGCTCTGCCATAATCGTGGGGCTGCACGGTTGGCGTTGGCATTTGGGGTGAGACTCGATGTGACATGACACTGGCGATGTCATTGCCCGAAGCGCAAGCCTCGAAACACTCTAAGATCCTGTAAGAGCAGACTGTCTTGGAGAAGTAGCCGCCCTGATCTTCAGGCAGACTCCTGCTGCTGCAGAGGCCTTCGTAGGGTTTGGGGCTTGCGCGTCGGCTTGATGTTGAAGCAGCTTCTGCTCTACAGTTATCATACGTGTCGCCATACTAGTTACTAGTAACTAGTAAAGATCGTAACAACGAATTTTACTCGAAACGGTATTAGTAAGGGTACTAGCAATAGTAGTAGCACCAGTACCAATGAGACGCGACCAACTCCAGACAGTAGCTCGTCTGACATTCCAATGGTCCAAGATCCCAAACCACCGGCCCCAGCTGACTTAGGTGCGAGCAAGAGGGCCCGGACATGTCTTACCTCATTGGCGCCACAACACTTTGAAAACAAAGCCCTGTCAGAATCGTCATCGTTATCATCATCTTCATTAGCATCATCGTCATCATCATCGTCATCATCAACGTCGTACTGAAGAGGTGAAACAAATCGTAGACATAGTTGAGAGACGTTTTTCGCACACAAGAAGTACTTTAACAAAACATGCTTGCATATATGCAACAACCTTGAGCGCTGAACTCAATTTATTTAGCCTACAGGGCCGAAGCCCCAAAACCCCGATCCGCTAAAACCCCCAATCCCACCCAAAACCCTAAACCCCCAAACCCGCCAAAAACCCTTCGGCCCAAAGCAGGCCCTTAAATGAAAAAAACACCTAAACTGCCGCCGCGGTGTTCAGGAGCCTCCACGAGAGGCTCCGAGGGAGCAGCCGGCGCCAACTTTCAAGGGTCCGCCCGAGATCGTGGAGGAGTGCCGGGCCGGGAGATCGGGGATGGCTTTTTTTGTATATGAGTAGACATGCACCTACACTCAGATATGTGTATGTACATACATAATTATAATTATAAATATAAATATAAATATATATTTATATATATATATATAAATATATATACATATATATATATATATATATATATAAATATATATATATATATATATATATATATATAAATATAAAAACAAATAAATAAATATATATGTATATATATATATAGATGGATGTGTGTGGGTATAGTTCGGTGCTATGTTCTACGCCAGTGTTTTGTTTGAATTTGGCCACCCTTCCGACAAAGAACCATCGTTGAGCGGGCCTGCTGAGAGCGACTGGTGCTGCATGGGTGTGGCGTAATGTAGGCGGGGGCCTTAACACTTACCAATAATATTCCTAGGGTTCCTGATTTTTGTTATAGTATCATGTGGTCCAAAACCCTATTCAAGTTATTAAGGCCCCTATATCAGGTGCAACCCGCGATTGTCAGCTTGGACCTCGATTGAAACCTCTTCGAGACCGACCCCATCATGTCGCCGGGACACCAAACCCACCCTACTTCAATCGTCAACCCTAAAGCCGATACGTCCACGGCTTGATGGAAGCTCGCCGGAGCGCAGAAGAAGCCCCAGGCGAGCAGGGCTATTGTAGAGGGCTTCCACACATCTTTTTTGCCAGAAGCCGGTATCGGACACGCATCGAAAATCCAGAGGGCGACGGTCGAAGGTCACTTGGGTAGTGTCAGCCCACGGAGTGCTCTGCCATCACATTTCTCGTCCTGGACCGTAGTGCAGTTGTCCATCCATTAGATGGAACATGATGGACAGTCGTAGGCTTGACGCAGTTGCATCTCGCAGTTTTTTCTACATGATCGCATCTACACTGTAGTGACCACCTTCGACAGTAGCATTATATATGTATGTACGTACGTATATATATATATATATATATACATACATACATACATATGATATATATATATATATATATATATATGTATGTATTTCTCTCTCACTCTCTCTCGCTCTCTCTCTTCTTTTTCCATGCAGACCGCTTCATGAGGAGAACCCTGCGGATCCTCCCAAAGACTGCGAGGGCGCGCCCATTCGAAAAGGCTGCAAAGTGCAGCAGCTTGGAGCAATACACATAAGTAAACAAGCACACACAGACACACACACACATATATATATATATATATATATATATACCATATATATATACACACACATGCAGATACGCATAAATACATACAGACACACACACACACAAAACATGTGGTTAAGATTCATACACCTACATACATGCGTACATTGCATAATACAACACACCACTACATTATAAACTGTATTTTATCATGCTTTGTTATATAGTGGTTGGTATTACTTTATATATGTGTATATATATATGTATATGTATATAGCTGTCTATAGATATGTACATACATACATATGGTAACCTCGCCCACAGGGACCAGCCTCGGGCATGTAATTGTTCATGTGCGTCCGTGTGTTGTTGTGGATGGAAGCCGAACACCGTGTAAGTCCCGATAAAGTCTGTGTCGGTTAGTGTTATCTGCTGTGCATACTATCTGCTCTCTTTTCCTGTGACGTACGTTGAAAATCGTAAACAAATACAGGGAATGATCGGATCCGTCCTCCCGAGACTCATGGAACCATGGCCTTGCGACGCTGCTGTGGAGTGAGTGAGAGATCCGTTCGCGAATCAGGTAGCATCTGTTGTACTGTAGTTTACTTTAGCAGCCTCAGCATCGAACATGGTAGCAATAAGGACCCCTAGGTATATACCCTTATATAGCCATTATATACCCATTATATAGCCCATTATAGGGTAGGGGTCCCCATTAAGTAATCCTGATCCATCGAGTGGCGCGCAGCGAGACAGAAGTGTCCTCAGACTCTGAGCTGAGGTACCATGATGTCCGGCTCTGAGTCGGCCAGCCAGGGATAAGGGACGTTTTTGCAATCTGCTGATCCGCGATAAGCTGTGGCATGCATGCCAACACACCTCGCTCAAAGAGTCAGCGTAGTTGCGCCTGAACCCCAATCCTTCACAACAACTCGAAGGCTCTACACCCCGAAAGCCCCGCACCCCCACCCATAAAGCACCACCCCCCGCCCCCAAAGCCCTGAAGCACAGAAGCCTTGGAAGCCAAGCACTCGTTTGGGGAGTCAGGTATGCTGAACCTGGAGCCAAGCCTGAAACCCACGAAACGCACTACACCTTACACGCCCAAAACATCCAAAAGCCCAAACTCTCAAACCTCCGACCCTAAACTCCTAAACCCTACTCCCGAAGCACCCTGAACCCTGTAGCGTAATCGCAAATCCCTCAACCCTGAGGATTCCAACTGGGTTGGACTTGTCGTCGGTTTTGACTTCAAGGCGGCTTGGAGCAGGGCCTTTTCGGCTGAGATTGTGGAGTTTCTCGAAAATGGGGGGGCCCCTATAAAGGAATTCTAAAAAGTGCGATCCGTGTTTTCTGGGATGTAGGGTTGAGGGTTCAGGATTGACCTAAGGATGGGGCGTTGCGTTTGAAAGCAGCCTGGCTTTTAAGAACGATTGATCCGATGTTGGGCACATAAAGCCGCGATCATACGTTGGGGGTATAAAGGTTTTCTGAATCAGGTTCCTGCGTGTTGCATCTGGTTGTTAGCCTGTCTAGAAACGGCAAATCGGATGCAATGCGCGGTTCCATCTTCCTTCGCATCCAGTCTTGTCCTTTGGTTTTGCTGATATCTTTCTCATGTTTGCCACTGCCAGCAGATTGACAGTAATGTTGCCATCGTTATTATCGAGCTGAAGGGGTAAGTGAAGTGAGTGAGTGAGTGAGTGTTGTGCATATATGCATATATTTGGTCTGGGCATGTGTGTGTATGGATTTTTGTTTGTGCTTATGTATGCATGCCTGGATGTATGGATGCATGTGTGTGTGTCTGCACGGTTCTTTGTTTGTTTTGTTTTTTGTTTGTTTGTTTATACTCTCTCTGAAACCTCTCCGTTCAGCGAAACAGGCTTTGGTATTCGATGGTTTACGGAATGGGGTCCCGGGTGTGGGGTTTATGCTTCAAGGGTTGTTGAGGGCTCTGACTTAATAGCCTGACGTTTGGAGGAGGGTGGCGGGGAGAGGGCATTCGCTGAACACTAGTGACACATAACAACCTACGAGAAGACATAGCAGTATGGCATAGCCACATCCAGTTGAGATATGATGTTTTGACGATCTCAGCGCGAGCAGACAATCTTGTGTGCAAGACATCGGTGTTCGTTTAGCGACGCAGCGTTTTTTCGGGTGTTCGCATCTATGGCTATGGGTTTTTGTGCTGCGACAATGAAGTCTGTTTACTAACATGAAGTAACTGTGTAATTGCATGTCGGAATCGCATTTAGAGCAATACACAACAAGAGGTGGCAACACACAAGAACTGCGAGCTTAAGGCAAGCACAGCGTAGCTGTCGCCTTGATGATCCTCTAAACCCTAAGCCCTAAACAGGGCACGGCCGTCATCGACTGGCAAAGTGGTGCCAAGAAGGGTGAGCGGACCGGTGCTGGCGGAAGGCACGGGCCGTGTGCTGTATGTGGGTGGCTGTCAACATTAGGATCCCTTTTTGGGTACCTTAAGTTTTATGTGCCGTATCATTATAAGGGCCCAAAAAGGGACCCTAATTTTCTCAGCAGTCTCAGCTTTCAGTATACATGATTCTGCACGAATGGCATTTATTGTTGATCATCGTGTGCCGAAAATGTATAGGGACGTGAATGTATGTAAACCTGTAAGCATATATATATATATATATATATATAAATATGCATTATATATATATATATATATACATACACATTTATACATATATATATATACACACATTTATTGGTTTATTTATGCAACATACATGCACCTTCACATCTCCTACACACATAGGCATGTGCACACACATACATACCCACAAAATTTCAGAGCTGGTCAGTATGCTGCATGTTACTAATTCGGCCGGGTCGGATCTGGTGTTGCATGGTTTGTGTCTTGTGATCTTGTGCATGCAGCTCAGTGGCGACTCAAAGCAAATGGGAGATTAGGGGTACTTTATTTTGGGGTCCTTATCATAAGAATCCTACAACAAGTAGTTAGGGTACTGTATTTGGGTCCCCTGTTTTTGGAAACTCCCAAATGGCTGCAAAGGACAACCTCTGACTTTTGTTTCTCCCCTCCGACCACGATCAGCCATCAGCAGGTATGTGCGTGTGGTGGCAGATCGGCCGGAAGAGGTTCCCGTGCAGAAGGACCGAGTCATGTCACACGATTAGAATCAAGCCCGAATCCTCAGCCCCTGAACCTTGCTGCGACGGGGTAGGCCTGATGGAGCAAACAGGCAGAACGTAGGACGTGGCACATGGACTCGTCACAATGTGGAGCGCAACGTGAGATTTCTGCTCACGCCAGCTCAAACAGGAGGCAGTCCTGCCAAAGATGCAGGAGGGGGGATGCACCGTGATTCGTGTACCGTAGCAGCTCTTGTTGACTTCAGGACGGTATACAGAAGGTTCCTCGTGTCGCTGTTTTGGCTTGCTCCATGCCACATGGGCGCTTTTTGTCCATTCCAAGGTAGAACTTCCGCATCCTTGAGACCAGAATACTCTCACAGAAGGGTGGCTTGAAGCCACTATGAATCCACACGGTAATGCTTGATTTGCCGTCGGCACGTTCACTGTACTGACACAGATCATACGGTTGCTGCTCACACTTACTGAGAGTCGGCTACAGGCTACACATTCCCTTCCAATTGCCAGTTGCAGCAGGCTCATGATTCTGTGAGCGTGACTAAAGACTTCTGGGGGCCCTCCATGCTACGATCGTGTAAAGTGCGATGTCAAGCCTGCATCTGCACGGCACCCCCACGCCTCAATAGTCATGATGGCCACATCAGAAAGATAAACAAGAAGAAGAAGTAGTAGTAGTAGTAGTAGTAGTAGTAGTAGTAGTAGTAGTAGTAGTAGTAGTAGTAGTAGTAGTAATAATAGCAATAATAGTAATACTACTAATAACAACCACAGTAGTCGTCGTCGTGGTGGAATCGGAGAAGTGGGGGTCCTAGTCTTCCTCGGCAAAGGCTCAGCAGCTCAAACTGCTTCTCAAGTCCTGCTCGAAGCTCATGGTGAGCTCTTCCTACGTTACGGCTAGCTTATAAAGTTGTTGAGAGTTCTGAACCCTATCATAGAAGCCTATAGTAGCCGTAGAAAGGAACGCTGACCCATAGCTATCCTTTCACAAGTCTAGCGATGATGCTTCCGGGAGGCCAATTTTCCCGAGGAGCCTTCGCAGCCTGCTTTGTCTTCGGACGAGGGCGCGGACAAGGCCAGACTGTGGAAACCCGTGGCTTTTTGCAAGCTTGGTTCGAAATCCCCACTCCCCAACCCCACGGCTTAGGCCGCCCACTTGGCCCTGACCTCCGAAAACCAGAAAGCCCCCAATAAGTCTCAGCAAGCTTCGTCCGGAAAGCCTCAGACTTCTAGGCTCCACGAAGCCTCTGTGGATTTGCCTGCGAGGTCTGGGTAGACGAGATGACGAGGCCCCCACTGAGAGTGTGAAATTGCGAAATGCCGGTGTTCTTGTCAATGGGGGCAACACAAGCCTTATCTAGCTGTGACAGGAGTGCGGACGGAAATGTTGGCGCAGCTAGCAGTAGCCGTCACAGTACCAGCGAGATGGGTGTTCACCGTCAGAGTTCATGCATCACAAGTCTTAGAAGTCTTGTGTGTGCCCTTACATTGTAGTAGTAGTAGTAGCAGTAGTAGTACTAGAAGTAGTCGCAGCAGTCGTAGTAGTGGTAGTAGTAGTAGTAGTAGCAGTAGTAGTAGTAGTAGTAGAAGTAGTCGCAGCAGTCGTAGTAGTAGTAGTAGTAGTAGTAGTAGTAGTAGTGGTAGTAGTAGTGGTAGTAGTAGTGGTGGCAGTAGTGGTGGTAGTAGTGGTGGTAGTAGTAGCAGGAGTAGGAGTAGGAGTAGGAGTAGGAGTAGGAGTAGGAGTAGGAGTAGGACTAGGAGGAGGGGGAGGGGGAGGGGGAGGGGGAGGAGGAGGAGGAGGAGTTAGTAGTAGTAGTAGTAGTAGTAGTAGTAGTAGTAGTAGTAGTAGTAGTAGTAGTAGTAGTAGTAGTACTAGTAGTAGTAGTAGTAGTAGTAGTAGTAGTAGCAGTAGTAGTAGTAGCAGTAGTAGTAGTAGTAGTGGCAGCATTTTTATTTTTTTATTAGTAGTAGTAGTAGTGGCAGCATTTTTATTTTTTATTATTAGTAGTAGTAGCAGTAGTAGCAGTAGTAAGTAGCAGTAGTAGCAGTAGTAGCAGTAGTAGCAGTAGCAGCAGCAGTAGCAGTAGCAGTAGCAGTAGCAGTAGCAGTAGCAGTAGCAGTAGCAGTAGCAGTAGCAGTAGCAGTAGCAGTAGCAGTAGCAGTATCAGTAGCAGTAGCAGTAGCAGTAGTAGTAGTAGTAGTAGTAGTAGTAGTAGTAGTAGTAGTAGTAGTAGTAGTAGTAGTCGTAGTAGTAGTAGTAGTAGTAGTAGTAGTAGTAGTAGTAGTAGTAGTATCTTTCAGTAGGTATGTACTGTTGTTACTATTTCTGTCAGTATCATTGTCATTGTAAGTATCATGCTCCGCACGCTCATTATCATTTTCGATTACAGTTTTGTCATTACAGGTTTATCGTTTCTGTGCTTAATGTGTATATGTATGCCAATGTGCATTGGCATGTGTATATGTGTATGCGAATACGTCTGCATATGTATGTGCTTGGGTGTGTATACCTATACACATTGATGCACACACACACACGCACACACACACACACATATACATAAATATATATATATATATATTTATATATGTATTGATATTTATGGGTGGCTATATCTAAATTTGTATACATACACCTATACAGATACGTGCACGGACACAGGCACCGAAACATATACATGTACTTATACATACACGTACACACGCATGCATTTGTACATACACATGCACATGCACATCTACATCAGCATATACGTATACAGATTAGTAGACATGCACATATACGCATACGCATACGTATGAGCAGGTATACTGTACATATACGTATACGTGTACTTACACATACGCATACAGGCGTGCATGCACATGGCTGCCATACCGGGAACGGGTTTCAAGTAGTAGACGAGCAAATTCAGGATGGAGGACGACGATTTCCATGAGCCCGGTCCTCGATGGGCAGCACGCGACGAGGCACGCGGGATTCGGCCTCGGCTGGTTTGAAGTTTCTGGACCAAGTACGCATGCAGCTGGGTCCCTTTCACTTGGCCGAACGGCCGTGAGGCCGAATCTCAAGCTTGCTGCGAATGGCTGACAAACTTGCAGCAGTCCAGGGTTTTTACGCCTTTTACGCATTTTACGCAATCATGTATGCTCTGTCGGTGCAAAGCTAGCCTCATCCAGCATCGATTGCATGGTAAATTTCCGTAGATGTGTCAGCAATCTCGGAGTACGGCTCATCCTGTAGCAGCAGCCTGAAGCTGTACCAGAGTGTGGCCTTTGCCCGGAGGTGATGGCACGTGGAATGTGGCAAGAGTCGCCGCCGTGGGGCCTCGTCCCAAGTATCTGCAGCGTACTAAAAGTCAGTGTGTGTTTGTGTGTGTGTGCGTGTGCGTGTGCGTGTGCGCAGGTGTGTGTGTGTGTGTGTGTGTGTCTGTCTGTGTCTGTCTGTGTGGTGTGTGTGTTTGTGTGTTTGTGTGTCTGTGTCTGGTATGGTCTGGTCTGGTCTGTGGTCTGTGCGAAGGCTTGAAACCGCTTTTGCTGACACCATCAAACCGTTACACAGCGTCACTATTTTGGACTTGATTCTTCTGCGCACTGGGACTGCCTCTTAGCCCCCCGGGGATGCCACGCATGAAGCAAACTCCAGACATGCCAGGCATCCTTGTAGCAATTCGGGCCCAAGCCGCAACGCACAGGCCACACAGGACTCTACGAGGAGCCCTGGTACGGCCAGGTCGGCCGGAGCGAACCATGATGATATACTATAGGGGCCTGAATAATTACCTATACTATTTCGGGGCTTCCTTATTATAACTATAGTATAATGCGCCCCCAAACCCTATTCTAATTTATTAAGGCCCCTATATGAGCGGACGATGACGATTGTTGTCCTTATCTGTAGGGGACTGCATTAGGGGCAGCGGTAAGAGTTAGGCAAGCCTCGTCGGTTGTGTCAAGCACGAGAGGAACCTAAGTTGGCCCTGACGAATTTTTGTCGCGGATGTGCTGGTCCGGGTCAACCGATGAATCGTTGGCACTGGACTCGCAGGGCTGGAGCTGTTCGGTCCTGTAGGGTTTTTGAAGACCTTAGCATGAAGTAGGCACTGGTGATCTATTATGTAGCCGCAGCAACCAAAGGAATTGTAGCTGCCGAAAACAGCAACGGTGGCCAAGCAAATGTGGCTCATGCGCATACCCTCAAAACCGAAGCAGACAAGACTGCATGCTTACCGCTGCTAACCCTCGAACAGTTCGACCCTATCAATTAGACCCCTTGAGCGCAACCATAACCCTTAAATAGCCTTACCTAAACACCGAACAGTAATCTCCCCTCAGCTGGCTCTAACCTCTAAACCATTCCTGGCTCGCAGGAGTGGTCTGCAGGAATGGGCTTCCATTCGGGCATGCAAGCAGCCGAGGGCTCAGGACGTCAGGTGCAAAGAATGAGTAGCAACCGGCGCCAAGAATGGAGAGTCCTTCTCGGTGTTTGTGAGCTCTTCCGTGGGAAAGATTCATGGGCAGCCTTCGCCATCCCGACTCCGGAAGTCTGGAGTTTTGTGGTTTGCCATGGAAGATTCCCAGTCGCTAGCTCGCCTAAAGACGCAATCATTAGTCTTCGGTATCGGAGATGTGCAGCATCATGAGTACATGTACATGCGTTCAGACTGAGGAGGAGATGGCTTCTTCGTCATACGCTGCTTTGGATCCACAGGCTGTCGTACGCTCAGCTTACCCATGCCACTGCGTCTGCATGGGAGATGCTGTTCACTCTGAGCTTTGTGGTTTGCTAAGACGGCTGCTGTGAATCCAACGCCAAGCCAGGCTCCGTATCAGCCCTTTCAGCCGGCGGAACCTTCAGCCGTAGCCCCAATACATGCTTTGAGGTTTCGGCTCTTGCTATCGGCGTGGGGTTTAGTGCATTGTGTTGATAACAGGGAAGTTTCAGGAATACCTTACTATCCCCTTTAGTGAATTGCCTTATCCCCTTGCATTCCTCACTTTACATGCCTTTACAGGAAGTCATTGTA